CTGGAGTATTTTAATCCTGTACTTCAGAAAACTGTCTGCAAGATAAAAGTCAAAACATCTCCATAAGATAAAGATGAGCAACTTACCAGGTGGCAATATTATTATTTGCTATATCAATCCTTTAAATTTATCAAGTACCCTAAAAAAGTCCTGAAAAGTAATAAAACAAGATTTCTATATAGGAGAAATTTCAAAAGATTCTGCATACACACCGAATTCAAGACCCTGTACGGATGTCTTTGTTTTCATTAGTGAAAAATATTCTCACAGATCTAAGATCAAAATATGTTAAGAACAACATCCTCCCACCCTTACTGCCTCTCTGTATCATTTTCTGTTGCATGTATTTTTCTTGTACTGTTACTTAGGGAACACAGCGCTACTCACTTTGAAGAGAGCTTAAAGGATCTACCCTTGAAGAACATAAGCATGATGTGGCAAGGTCTCATAGAATAATGCTTGCAGTGTATGGAAAACTTTACAAAGCAATGGCTTTTTTCCAAAAGAAATGGGTTTGTGCATGGAATAACTACCAGCTTGCTTCTTGTTTTGCGTCCTGTCCATTTTTCGAGAGAAAATCCAGCTGCAGTCCATCGAAGTAATACATCTTCTCTGGTTTAGTATTCCACCCTGCTATTACTCATAGATGTGCCAGTTGCCCAAAACACACATTATTACTGTCTTGATCATCTGTCTTTCTTGAGCAGTCCTGACCATCCCTCCTTCTCTATGTCCTGCACCAGTTTTGATCACACCCTTCCAGACCAGCACCACCTATGAAAGACACCACCAGGATGGGCCAGGGCTTATGCCTGCACAACTTTATCCACACCACAAAACCCTCTGAACTTCTCTTGTCCAACCTGACAAATCCACCTGCTAGTCTAAAGCCATGACTTCTCTGAGCCTCCCCTTGCCCTTCATGGTCTCTTCCTATGCCCAGCATTTCTTGAACTTATCAAGATGTTGACCTCTTCTTCAGCAAGGCCATGGTACCAGCCCTCACTGGTAATACACTGGCGTTTCAGAGAAGCAATTCTACATTGCCTCCTATTTGAAGACTCTCCCCTGAAAAAAAAAACTATTATTAATCCCTTTAAGTATTTTAATTTCCATAATTTTTGATTAGTAATAATGACTCTGCTTGACAGCTGTTTTAACTAGTTTGCTGTCCTTCCTTGTTTCTTATTGTCTTTTGTCTTAAATTGTAGATTGTAAAAGGCAAGATTAATTTTGCTATTGTTTTGTGCTGTTGTACAGTCACTCCTGTGACTGGAGTGGTGGGACACCAAAGCCATACAACCTGCAGCTGTCAGTGCTGGTGTTTCTATTTTAAACATGGCACATTAATATGAAGTTTTTATATTCGAGTTTCTTTGCAGGAGTTAACTTTCATCTTTGAGTGTTCAATAAAAATAATTTTGTAGGCTTAGAAGAGTGTTCTTGTACAGCAACAATAAAAAGATTAAATTTCTTCCCTAAGGTCACACAGTAAGTCAATGTCAAAGGTAAAATTATGCTTTTTGTTTCCTAATCTATATTCTTTCATTGTCTTGCACACCAAAAGAGGTCAGAATTAGCACCACATTGATGACTATTGGCTAATTTTTCTGGCAATCAGATACAAAACAGAGATAACAGATGAAAAGCTAGCTGTCTACATTTTAATATAAACCTAATGTGTACATCCAAAGGCATGAACTACAAATCCTTACACAAGCAAAACATCAATTAAAGACCAGACAGTTTGAATAGGTTAATTAACAAGAACACTGACACAATCAATAAAGCTATTATAGTAAAGCAAATCTCTCCCCGGAATACTCCTCCTGTTTTTTTGACAGATGGCTTTAGATGATATATATCTTTTTTATAAGAAAAAAACATTTGGAATATCAAGACACAGATTCTCCTCATAGATTAAAGAATAATGCAGTTATACCCAAGTTCATGATATGCTGATTCTAGCACATGTTTCAAATCTTTACAGCTTACCAATTACTGTCAAACGCATCTCTTGATATTAAAAATCAGGGTCAAGTGCCATTGCTGATAGTGAGTTGGTAACATAACTACTACATAGTCAAATCTGGTGCCACTGGCATCAATCATCAACAACGACACCACTTAATGGGAGTAAGGATGTAAAAACTTTGACTCTAATTTCACTACACCATTCTACCACCAAAGAAAGGCTTACAATGGACTTTTACTGCTCTACACTGTGTTGTATTTAAAAAATTAATTTACTGGATCACATCCAAGTTACACTATTCTCTAAGGAATAATCAACATATCTTTGTTTTGACTAAGATTGTAGTACATATGCAAAGAATCTGCTTATGTTTTCTCTTCCTCAAAAGCCATTTACTTCCCCAATGAGTAGAAGTGAAAATACCTAGACAAGAAAAAGGTATGTAGAAACACATTACAAATCTCCTGCCAACTAATCTGAATATAAATTCAAGGGATCCTTACCAGCTGCAGCCAAAAGCCCACTCCAGATTCTGTTAGATGTTAATCAAACTTAAGTATGTTAATCCACAGTTTCTGTGTTCTTTGCATAGATGAGTTAACTGCTTTTCTTAAACTGCATTTGCCTCCCCAGGTGTATGCCCCCAGACTGCAGAATACATCCTTTCATGGAAAACAAGGTTATGAGAATCATCAAAGGACTGCTCACTAGGTCAAAATCTTCTGTTCACCTGCAGGGCAGGAACAGCTCATTTAACACTGTTAACCTCTGGACAGGTCCACCTGTGAGGACACAACCCCACACTTTCAACTGCATTTTGTTGGCATTAGCTATGCATGTTTGAGCTAGAGCAGCGAAACAGTAAAATTTAGGGTAAATGAAGGACTAAAGCATCGAGTTATTGAGGCAAAGGAAATACAGGTTCTGCCTAATAGGAGTGTCCAAGGGAGATTGAAACTGGCACGCAGAGGCCCGCCCCTGGAGAACAGCGCAGACTCCAGACCTTTTCACCACCTGGTATTCGAAATAGGGTAACTCTGATACGTGATTTCCAAGGAAATTAAATAGGTATCACCAGCTTACTACACACAGGCCACTGAGCAACCATCAGCTGAGAATTTTTTTGCAAGATATGGATTGCAGTCACTGAGATGCAGAAAATTGCCAATCCTGTGAATGGCTTATCTTCTAGCAGAGACTTTTAACACTTCAGACTTAAAACTGCACCATCTTAAGAAGCCAAACACAAAGCCATGCCTTCTCCACAGCACATTAACTATGAACACTAATATGATGCAATTGATCCACCTCTTGTGGGAGTGGTACCATTTAAATTTGATTGTCTGACAAGGCCATGTGGTGATTATAATTGTCTGTGTAAGAAAAATTAAATTAATTTTACGAGATAAGGTCCCACATTTTGATGCTATGCAGGTGACGACTTGCATGAGCAAACAAGTAGAAATGTGAGCCTAAATTACACTGTTTGTCCAGCTTATTAAAAACCTGCAGCACACCTGCCTGGCTGACCTTTCTGCCTTGAGACAGGAAATAAAAGTAGGCTTCCTAGTACAGTTTCATTTGCAGAGCCACTAAGTAGCAATTGATACAGATAATTTGGCCACCCAAGCTGTTATTTTCCTAAATTCTGTCTCCAGCTCTGACAGTTGGATGCCCCCCTCCACTTCAAGAGGAACTCACATACCTAATTACGTATGCTTTCCTCATGGTATTGTGTTATTGGGCACAAATGTCATTTAGGGGTGTTGACAAGGCAACTGAAGCCAGCTTTCAGCTTCAGTCTCACATCAGACATGCTGCTCAGTCAAGGCATCTAAGGCTTTTCACCGTAGGTCTGCAGCTTATCTGCTGGGAAACTCTCCAGACTTGGCTTTTCTTTTTCTTCCAAGTTGCTGGATAAAACCATTTTTCCTAAATAGAGTCATTATGTTAATCTGCTTTCCGAACTGCTGCTGCCAAAGCTCAGTTACAAACCTGAGGAAGTATGCCATGGAACATCTTCAGTACTGACAGCATTGGTCCAAACTGAGGTTTTAAACTTGCTCTGTAACCGAAAGTTGGTACTTGAGAAAAACTTCAGAGCTGTATATGATTCTGCGAAATACATGAATACTTGGACTACATTTGATTTCCCAATGACTGGCAGCAATGTTTAGGTAATCCGTAAGATTACCAAAAAGCCTGCATTACTAGTTCATTCTAGGAAAAGGAGCTGCCTATTTTTCCTAATTGATTTGTGCCTACAGTTCCAGATCAAGCCTACTTCTTGGCTGGAACGCAAAATAGGAAATATTTACACTACTATAACTGTCTCCAAAAGAAAATCTGTACAGGATACCACACAACTGAGAATTTCTCTAGGCAGCTTCTGCTGAAGGGCATAATGCTGGAACAAAGTCAAGTTATGTAACAGATGTGCATTTTCACGTGCAAGTCACGCTTATTTACATACATATACAAACATCCCTCTATATCAGTATCTGTGCTCGATCCAGTCTCTGTTTAGGACTGTCAAAAACTTTCCTTGAAAACGAACGGCAACCCTTAAAAAAAAAAGATCTTTCCGCAGCAATACGGGAAAGCCTGAACTGACTCGTCCTGGGAGACGGCGGCGATGCGGTCTGGGGAGAGGGGGATAAGCCTGCCCGGAGCCCGCTCGCCCACCAGCCTCAACACGGAGAGAAACACGCACGGGCTCCCGGATGCTCTGCAAAGGTGACGGTACCGGCTTATCGGACCAGGGGGCCGGCATCACACCGCTATCTCGAGGCCACCTTTGCCCAGGGCAAAAACCCCGCCCCGTCCGCTCCGCTTCGGGAGCAACGCTGCTTTTGCCGCCGCCTTAACAGGAATGCCGCCGCGCTGCTCCGCGGCATCCAGGCACCGCGGCATTCCGACACCTCGGCATCCCGGCGCCGCACCTGCGGAGAGTGGAGCGATGGGACGGGGTGGGATGGGATGGGATGGGATAGGATTGGGTGAGACTGAAATGGATGGTCCGTACCTACCTGTCCCGCGGGCGCCCTCCCCGTCCGACCCGGCTCCGAGAGCCCCTCCGCCGCTGCGCCGAGCGAGGGGCGGTGAGTGAAGCGGCACCGGCGGGGTGCAGTTCCTCCTCCTTCTCCTCCTCCTTCTCCTCCCCCCAGCCCGGCGCTGCCCGACCCGCCCCCGACTCCGACTCGGCCCCGGCCCTGCCGTCGCGGCGGACGGGGAGTGGCGGCGCGTAGCCACGACAGCCAGCCAGACAACTTCACCACTTACACGCTTTGCAGGGGCGCTCCCCAGGGCGGATGTTGCCTTCACCCCCTTCTTCCGACGCTCTCCACGCACCCCAAAAATAGCCTTCCCCCCCCCCCCCCCCAGTCACTTGTAGGCTAAGTGAAAGCTACACAGGAGCCTCAGAGGTTACTTCGTTCATCCCGGAGAAGGATGGGCTCCCACCCAGCGCTGCCAGAAGAATAGCATAGTCAAAGCTCCTTAGGTCCCGAGAGCAGGAGACCCAGATCCAAAGAAGAGCAAATGTCACGTGCTCCACTCCGGTCCTGCTTGAGAAAGGATGGAAAGCGTTGATTTCGCACTTACATATGTATTTTTCATGTTATAGTAGAGGTGTACATTAATATTCCCCTAATATTTCAGGTCAGTCAGACCTGTGAGCCTGTTTTGTGATTAAAGTTGCAGCATGGAGCAGGGGAAGGAGAATGTTCTGTGAAAGCAACCACTACTTAGAATCATAGAATAGTCAGGGTTGGAAAGGACCTTAAGATCATCTAGTTCCAACACCCCTGCCACAGGCAGGGACACCTCACACTAAACCATCTCACCCAAGGCTTCTTCCAACCTGGCCTTGAACACTGCCAGGGATGGAGCATTCACAACCTCCCTGGGCAACCTATTCCAGTTCCTCACCACCCTAACAGGAAAGAATTTCCTCCTTATATCCAATCTAAACTTCCCCTGTTTAAGTTCTAACCCATTACCCCTTGTCCTGTCACTACAGTCCCTAATGAAGACTCCTCCCCAGCATCCCTATAAGCCCCCTTCAGATACTGAAAGGCTGCTATGAAGTCTCCTTGCAGAAAAGAGAGACCAGAAGAGACTGACAAATGGCGTGTTGTGTGTATCCCTTGTAAGACAGCCTTTGCACGATAAACAAATGTTAGTATGTTTAAAACACGAAAAGCTATCACAAATAGTAAGGACAGCAGCTAATCTACTAAATTAGCTTTTCAAGGGGGAATCAGCACCACATAACTGGTTAAGTATTATTTTGCCTATAGATCTATTTTTGCTCTTTCTTGCAATGGTTGTGCCATTACAGCATCTTCTTTACAGAACAGCATGTAGGGCCTATTGCTTATTGTCTCTGCTACCTCAGGCGGGGTGTGAAAACAGTGAGCAGGGTACACAGGACGGGTTGGGGGAGCCGGAGCCGGGGCTAAATCCGATACGCGGGAAAGCAGAGACACCTGCTGTTAAGAAAAGTATTGTGGGGCTGAGGAAATTCTTCAAGAACAGTACTGCAGCTACACAGCTGTAATAGCTGTAATACTGCCTGTAGAGAATATCTTCCTTTTACCAGAAAAAAATTTAAAAAAGAGACAACCCCCTTTTTTTTTTTGACAGATGTATTCCTAATCCATGTATCTAACCTTATAAGTAATAATGGCAGTTTTGCTCTGATCTTAAGCCTAAATGATTAAAAAACACTAAGAAATAGCACTAAGACTGCAAATAAAAAAACGGGAAATATCGAGTTGATTCAAATTAAGTGTTCTAATTACAGGTTTCTAAGGCAATCCAGAATGAAATGGTAATTGTCTGCACAAGGAGTTGATCTAGCCAACTGAAGACCACCAGTATCACTTGTATGCGTGTTGCTTAAATGTGGTTAACTTTAGTATCCTTCTTGGGAGCATGTATCTGTTCACTCCTTCTCAATGTGTGTGCCCTCAGAGTTACTAGCGTATTAAAACACAGCAGTTTCTCCAAAGCTTATAATTTATTCCAATCACTATTCCTCCAGTTTTGATGTCAAAGATACATTCATTCTGAGATCCTCAATTAACTTCATATCAAATGAAGAAAATTGAAAATGAACCAAAAATTTATGTTCATATCAAATGAAGTTATGCCAGTTGTGTGTTACTCCTTTTTGACATCTCAACTTGACATCTCAACTTGAACAACTTCCTTTCCGTTTCCTTTTGATTGGTTGATTGGTTTTCTGTTTGTTTGGTTGTATTTTTTTGGCACTGAGAATGACATTCTTTTGTCATTTTCATTAAGGGAAGTTGTGGAAGAATAAGGAACTCTGTTACAAGAGTATGTCCCTAAGTGTTCACTTGTGGAAAATGTAGGACACTCGTAATGGAAATCCACATACTAGGTAGAAAACAACCGTATCAGCAAATGATGCAAAGAGAAAATGTTGTGCCAATTTCCTGGATCACCCTTGATAAGAATCATAGAATCATAGAATAGTTAGGGTTGGAAAGGACCTTAAGACCATCTAGTTCCAAGCCCCCTGCCATGGGCAAGGACACCTCACACTAAACCATGCCACCCAAGGCTCTGTCCAACCTGGCCTTGAACACTGCCAGGGATGGAGCATTCACAACTTCCCTGGGCAACCCATTTCCAGTGCCTCACCACCCTCACAGTAAATAATTTCTTCCTTATATCCAATCTAAACTTCCCCTGTTTAAGTTTGAACCCATTACCCCTTTTCCTATCACTACAGTCCCTAATGAAGGTTCCCTCCCGAGCATCCCTGTAGGCCCTCTTCAGATACTGGAAGGCTGCTATGAGGTCTCCATGCAGCCTTCTCTTCTCCAGGCTGAACAGCCCCAACTTTCTCAGCCTGTTTTCATACAGGAGATGCTCCAGTCCCCTGATCATCCTCGTGGCCCTCCTCTGGACTTGTTCCAACAGTTCCATGTCCTTTTTATATTGAGGACACCAGAACTGCACACAATACTCCAGGTGAAGTCTCACAAGAGCAGAGTAGAGGGGCAGGATCCATCCTCCTTCTACCTGCTGGTCACTCACCTTTTGATGCAGCCCAGGATATGGTTGGCTTTCTGAGCTGCAAGTGCACATTGAACCTGGCTCATGTTCATTTTTTCTTTGACCAACACCCCCAAGTCCTTTTCTGCAGCGCTGCTCTCAATCTCTTCTCTGCCCAATCTGTAGCTGTGCCTGGGATTGCTCCAACCCAGGTGTAGGACCTTGCCCTTGGCATGGTTAAACATCGTCAGGTTGGCATCAGCCCACCTTACAAGCGTGTCAAAGTCCCTCTGGATGCCATTCCTTCCCTCCAGCGTATCAACTGACCCACCCAGCTTGTTGTCATCAGCAAACTTGCTGAGGGCGCACTCAATCCCACTGTCCATGTCAGCGACAAAGATGTTGAACAAAGATGGTCCCAACACCGATCCCTCAGGGACACCACTCATTACCGTTCTCTAGCTGGACATTGAGCCATTGACGACAACTCTTTGTGTGCGGCCATCCAGCCAGTTCTTTATCCACCGAGTGGTCCATCCGTCAAATTGATGTCTCTCCAATTTAGAGACAAGGATGTCGTGTGGGACAGTGTCGAATGCTTTGCACAAGTCCAGGTAGATGACATCAACTGCTCTACCCCTGTCCATAGGTTCCCTAGCCCCATCATAGAAGGCCACCAAATTGGTCAGGCAGGATTTCCCCTTAGTGAAGCCATGCTGGCTGTCACCAAGCACCTTGTTCTCTTTCATGTGCCTTAGCATGCCTTCCAGGAGAATCTGCTCCAAGATTTTGCCAGGCACAGAGGTGAGACTGACTGGTCTGTAATTTCCCAGGTCATCCATTTTCCCCTTCGTGAAAATGGGGGTTATATTTCCCTTTTTCCAGTCATCGGGAACTTCACGTGACTGCCATGATTTTTCAAATATGATGGCCAGAGGCTTCACAACTTCATTTGCCAGCTCCTTCAGGACCCGCGGATGGATTTCATCAGGTCCCATGGACTTGTGTACATTCAGATTCTTAAGATGATCTTGAACCAGATCCTCTCCTACAGTGGGCCCAAGGTCTTCATTCTCACAGTCCCTGCATCTGCCTTCCAAGACTTGGGTGGTGTGGTCAGAGCCTTTGCCAGTGAAGACCGAGGCAAAGAAGTCATTAGGAACGCAGCCTTCTCCAAATCCAGGGTGGCTAGTTCTCCTGACAGCTTCCGAAGAGAGCCCACGTTGTCCCTAGTCTGTCTTTTATGTGCTACATACCTATAGAATCCCTTCCTGTTATCTTTAACATCCCTAGCCAAGTTTAATTCTAACTGGGCCTCAGTTTTCCTAACCTGGTCCCTAGCTTCCCGGACAACATCCCTGTATTCTTCCTAGTCCGCCTGTCCTTCCTTCCACCTCTTATAAGCCTCTTTTTTCCTTTGAATTTTCCTCAGCAGCTCCTTATCCATCCAAGGAGGTTCTCCCAGCCCTCCTGCTGCACTTCCTTCTAGTCGGGATGCAACAGTCCTGAGCTTGTAGCTACGCTCCTGAGCTTGTGAAAACAAAAGCTTGCGTCGATTGCTGATTCTACATAGATTGCAGCGAGGGAGCTGCTCTGCTACGTGCGAAAAACTCTGACCCAGAATCAGGTCATCTACGAATGATTTAGCGGCAGGTTCCCCACAATCATGCGGTACGTGAAGGGGGAGAGGCTGCGCACCCGTCCGCCCCACCGGTCTCGACCACACGCGGCGCTCCGCACCAGGCCCTCCCAGGGAGGCGGGCGGCCGGCTTTCTAGAGCCCACCGAAGCGCCGGCGGTGCTGCGGTATCACTGCGTCTAGGGGCGATTCTGACTTGGAAGCGTTCAGTCATGAACCCACAGATGGTAGCTTCGAGCCAGTGGCTCTTCAGCGAAGCACACGCACCAGGGGTCTGAACGTGCGTTTCCTCTCTTACTGAGCAGGATTACTATTGCAACAACACAACATCAGTAGGGTAAAACTAACCTGTCTCACAACAGCCATAGAATGGTTAGGGTTGGAAAGGAACTTAAGATCATATAGTTCCAACCCTGCTGTGATGGGCAGCGAAACCTCACATTAAACCACATCACTCAAGGCTCTGTCCAGCCTGGCCTTGAGCACTGCCA